GGAGCACATGACCTATGAGGAGAGGCTGAGGGAGTTGGGTCTGTTTAGTCTGCAGAAGCGAAGAGTGAGGGGGGATTTGAGAGCAGCCTTCAACTTCCTGCAGGGAGGTTCCACAGAGGCTGGCGAGAGGCTGTTCTCAGTAGTGACAGATGCAGAACAAGGAGCAATGGGCTCAAGTTGAGGTGGGAGAGGTCCAGGTTGGATATTAGGACAAACTATTTCCCTAGGAGGGTGGGGAAGCGCTGGGCTGGGTTCCCTAGGGAAGTAGTTGAGTCTCCATCCCTAGAGGTGTTTAAGTCTCGGCTTGACAAAGCCCTGGCCGGGTTGATTGAGTTGGGGTTGGTCCTGCCTAGAGCAGGGGGCTGGACTTGATGCCTCCTGAGGTCTCTTCCAGCTCCATGGTTCTGTGATTCTATGCCAGCTCTCAGGATCAGGACGATGAAAGCCCGGTGGTGGGGTGAGGTGGCAGCCATGGTAGCAACGCTTTTGTTTTCCTCTTTTCTGGGGGTTTTGTGAGCCGGCTTTCTGATCTGCCCCCGCAAAGGTGTTTTCTTGCGAGGACTCCAGAAGGGATGTGGGTGGCAGAGCCATCGCTTAGGGCCAACTTCAGTCCCACATGTCCTTGCTTACCAGGCATAATCTGAAGTCAGTCCTTGGTGCGTTGTTGCAGTGGAGCTCAGCCGGAGCTCCTCCAGGGCCTCATCCGTGTATCTCGACCTTTGCCGAGGGTGCATAGAAAGCCCTGGCGAAGTCAGTGCGAACTAGAACTGCAGACAGTGACTTGTTTGTATTGCTGCATGTGGGCTCCCCGAGCTGCGGAACGGCCCCGCTCCTGTCGGCGTTCGGTAGCTGGTGAAAAGGAGCCGGCAGTGTTCGGGAACAGGCACTCGGACACATCCGCGTTGTTGGCGGGTCCTGGGAGCCGTTAGCTTACGGGGGAGCACACACACAAGTCCCGCTCCTGAAAGGCTGAGCGCCCTGCGTTACCGGGTCTGCTTGGATTAGCACCGCTTACCGTCTCCCTGTGCGTCTCTCCCAGAGCACGGAGTGCGGATTAGAGGCTCCTGGTGGACTTTCTCAGCTTACGCTGAAGCTTATCCTCCGGGTGAAGCAGCAGGCCCAGTGGGGCTGGGGATCCTGAGCCCGGAAAACCCGACACTGCCCTGCCCTTTCGCTTGAAGCCCACCCGTGCTTAAGAGTACAGAGCCCCACCCCCTCCCCCACGTGCGCGCGCACACATGCACACCCCTTGCAAAACCCGACACTGCCCTGCCTCTCTGCAGAGCTGCAGCCGCGATGGAAGCGATTATAACCGCGTACCAGGACTTCATGAAGGGGGCAGGTGAGATCTTCCTTCCATGCCCAGCTGCTGGCCAGGGCGGCTGTGCCATGATCCCTCTGCCCCCACCCGCAGGACTGTCCTGTCTCGCTGGCCATCTCCGGGCCCCATGGAATACGGTTCCTCTGGTCCTGGGCCACGTGGCAGGCCCAGCCTCCCCTGTGGTATTGTGGAGATATCCAAGGGGCAGGGGGAGTCTGAAGTGTGGGGCTGGGGTGCATTGGGAATTGCTGGGGGCATTGGGTGCCCGAACACGCCCTCCCAGTGCGCTGGGCAGCGGATTCTCCAGGCCGAGCAGGGGCCTCCAAAGGCCACGCTGGGGCAGTGGCAGAGTCCAGCTCTCCTGACAGCAGGGCAGGGGCTTGGGCTCCTCCTTATGGCCTCTCTTGTGCTCCTCCCCGCAGACCCCCGCATAGCCGAGTACCCCCTGATGCAGTCTCCCTTCCTCATGATGGGCACCCTGCTGACCTATGTCTACTTTGTGCTATCCCTGGGCCCCCGGCTGATGGCCAACAGGAAGCCCTTAGACCTAAAGAAGTTCATGGTGGTCTACAACTTCTTCCTGGTGGGCCTCTCGCTCTACATCGTCTACGAGGTGAGGCCCCAGCCGGGTGCAGCCTGTGCCCCCAGTCCCTGCCCCGACAGCTGGGCTGAGGCAGAGGCACCTGGCTGCCCAGTGACGGTGGCTGCCTTCTCGGAGGGGGAGGGGGAGGGAGGGCATGGCAGGTGTGGCTGTGCTGAACCCTGCTCTCCTGGTGTCCCTTGCTGCAGTTCCTGATGGCGGGCTGGCTGACGGGATACACCTGGAGATGTGACCCTGTGGATGTCTCCCAGGACCCTAAGGCCCTTCGGGTAAGTTCTCCCCTCTTGCTACCAGCAGCATGGGCTCCTCCACCCCGGCCCTGGCAGCGTGTGGTGTCGCTTCTCCTTCCTGGGCTTGGAGATGTCTGGCAAGACAGCAGCTTGGTGTGTCTGTGGCTTGTAGCCCGGGAGCCTGGAGCTGAGCAGAGGCAGAGCCCGCGGGGAGCCCGGGCATCCGTCTGCTGAGCCGCAGGGCAAAGCAGCGTGGCCCCAGCGCTCGTGGGTGCTTGCTGTCTGCTGGGGAGGGTTGGTCGGTGGGGCACCGTACGCCATGGCTGGGCCCCTCTGATGCCCGTGCACTCTCCCTGTTGCAGATGGTCCGTGTATCTTGGCTTTTTGTCTTCTCCAAGTTCATTGAGCTGATGGACACAGTAAGTGATGGACCCGGCTGTGCACGGCTTGGCAGTCCAGTTCCTGAGTGTTGGGCAAACCTTCGCCTGGCCAGGCATAACGAGCTTCACAAGACCCATGGCCCTGCCAGGTGCTTCAGAGCCAGGGGCCAGGGCAGTTCATGGCCTGATCCCATCCCCGCAGCCAAGGGCATGGGGCTCTCCCTGCCCATCTTGGGTGAGAGCCAGTT